GCGCTGGCTGTGCGTACTCGCTTGGCGTTTGCAGGTCAAAATTTGTTTGTGTTTCACCGTGTGGCGGCGTCGACCTGGCTCGGGCGGCCGCTCATGTTTCTTCGCGGCGGCTGCGCGCTGCTGCTGCTTGCAACTGCCCCCGTGACACTGACACAAACCAATGGCGTCTCGGTGCTTGTGAGCTCGGGACGTCCGTTCTACGAAGCGTTCGTACTCGCAGGCGAAGCCAACTGGATCACGTACGTCATGTACGAGTGCCAGCTCGTGTTCCACCCGGATGGCTCGATGGGCGCGGCAGCCGTCATCTGGTGCATCTACAGTCTTCTTGATGTGCTGGTACCGGTCACTGTGACTACCACACTCGAGCGCAACTGCTCTAGCACTGACTACATTTACACCGTAACGTGCACTCACGGCGCCATCTCCATCGGTAGCTTACAGCGTCTCTACGTGCTTCTCGGGATCCAAGCTGCCGGTCTCCTTATTGCTGTTTTTTGGCAACACCACCGCACACGAGTCGACTGTCGACGCCCAATTACCGTTCTCTTCACTGGCGTCGCGAGCGCACTGCTTCATCACGAGCTCGACGACATTGGGTACATTCTCACAGGACTGATCTCGCTGCAGCCGGATCGCATCTTCTTTGACGTCAAGCTTTGGGTCATCGTACGTGTGACCCAAGAACCTGTTGCGTCGGCCACCGTTGCGGCCGACCCACTGCGTTTTCCAGCATCACCGTGGCATGCACGGATTAGCGCTGTCGCTGGCTTTCTTTACGTTGTGGCGGCTGTCAGTAGCAGCTACTCGTACTTGCAGATCGCCAAGCGCACGCTTGTCAACGACCTTATCTGGCCCGGCTTCAACCTCTCGAGCACTCATGTCTTCTTGACGAACTGCCTCTGGGGTCGTATCGCCATGAACCAAACAGACGGAGACTTTATGCTCACTGATCCGTCTATCAACGCGGTTGGCTCGACAGTTGCGTCAACCACGAGCTCCCCGACCCACTTTGGCGCCCGCATGCAATACTCGACTCTGATGACGCTCGTTGATGCCGTGCACGGCCTACGAGCTACTGATGCCTGCGACACACCCTGGATCTTTACGCCGTACTGCTACCTGGACTTTGGTGGCGCCTGGGACATGGCCGCCACCGCCACGCGCCAAGCGCGCTGTCGTCACACGATGGCGACCAACGCTGCCGTGTACCTCGAGTCGCTGCTTCGTAACGTCGAGTGGGATGACTGGGTCACTTGCTGGGGTCCTTCGTTCGACTCTGCTTTTGGCAAGCATCTTGCAACGACGCGCCAAGGACAAGCCTTTCTAGCTTCAGTGAGCCAGCCACGCCTCTCGGTTGCAGATGAAGTCACCTACTGGCAGCGCTACGATCTCGAATCGTACGAGCTGCAGTGGCAAAACTTTAAAGTCATCGGACTCGACAACACGTACAGCATCGTCAATGCGCTCGGCCTCTCGTATCCGTTTACGCTTCAGCGGAGCCAGGGCTACTTTCGTCGTGAGTTTCAGACGACCTACAAGCTCTACTGGTCGCTCGCCAACGATCTGGCCAACCTGCCAAACCAGACGAGCTTGCTTCGAGCATCCCCCGCCTTTGCATATGCCAATGCGTCATTGGAAGATGTCTACTTGGCGAACGCCACCTTTCTGACGGCGCCACTACCAGCAGGATATGCAGTCGTTCGTGCAGCGCTGGGTCCATTTGGTGCGATCGATGCCGTGTACGTCGAAGTGCCGAGGGTCGTCCGCGCTGCTGCTCGGGACATCATGTCAGCCGTCGCAACCCATCGTGCGAGGTCATTGGAGTCGCAGGCTGCCTACGCGACACTGGATGTGAAGTTTCCAGCCTCATTGGTCCCAGCCGCATGGCTAGAGCTCGGGTTTGAAAGTGGCGGTGGCTCGTTGCTGTGCCCCGACCTGCCGTCAACGAGTTCCATCGCGACGGGTGTGCTGCGTCTCTTTCACTTCGAGACGACGTGCACCGAGTCGTCAACGTTGATGCAGCCAACGCTGACGGCCGATTGCTTGGTAGTAGCAGCACTCCTCACAGACCTCAGCACGAGCACCGAGGTGGCAACGCTCTGTCTTCAAATGCCCGACGCGGTCACCGAGTGTGAGGCAGCTCTCACAGACGTCGGTCGGTGGACGTCGACGATGGCACCGTTCTATGTACCGTCGCAGTCAGCGGCGATGGAAACTCTTCTTGCGCTCAACATCTCATTCATGCAATATGGTTCGCTCAACGGGTCCTTGGACTTGTATACATTTCCGATACTCGACCCCAGCTTTCGCTTTTTCGGTTGGACACTCGTACTCGAGTGGATCCTTGGGAAGCGAGATGTCGTGACGTTCGCAGGAGACGATGGGGCGCTCACATTGCTCTCGGACGTCGCTGATTATCTATACGAGCCGGTGCAAGCCGCGGAACTGCCGACTGTCTTGGCCTTGTACGCCCACGCCACCGTCCAGTACATTACCTTTGTCATGGCAGGGCTGGCCGCCGTTGCAAGCCTGTACATTGTTGTTAGCCGTGGCCGCGTCGAAGGGCTCAACATGCTCGAGCTCAGTCCCGTCGGTGGCATCGTCTGGGTGGGTCGTCCCCTCTTGGTCGTCCGCAGCGTCTCTGCGCTCTGTCTCTTATCGACGGCGACCACACTGTCGCTACACTATCCAAGTCCGTACCTCGTATCGTTTGCGACCGAGGCTTCATCGACGCTCACAACGTGCTTGGCAGCGAGCGAGGTCACGTGGCTCGTAGGCATTCTCAATGACATCTGTCTCGCCATCACACGCGAGCACTCGATACGCTACATCACCATCAACAGTCTGCTCGTTTGGTCGATTGCAGCTTGCCTCTCATCCCTTCAGCCTGTTGAGCACCGGGCGACTATGGACTTTCGCTGCGTCTCTACGGCGCTAGATTTCCAAGTCGAGTGCTCGACAGGCTCCATCGCGATCGGGTTTCTCGATCGCGTTTTGCTTTTGATTGCGGTGATCGTCGCCTGCAACTGCGTCTGCTACGGTCTTGTGCGAGCCTTGTGGCCTGTCTCGGCTTCCCTACGCCGCAGTCAGTCGCTCCTGCTCACGGCGGGCGCCAAGTACCTCTTCACGCACGACGGGTGGCTGCTTGGCGATGTCTACTACATGGATCGCGCGTCGGCGCTGCTGAGCGGTCTCCTGACGGTCTCGGTGCG